TGTGACTGCCTGAGAACAGTGCATACTTCTAGAATAAGAAATTTGCAGGAGTGAGAGTTTCATGAACAAGAGATGGAGAGAAATTGAGACCAGGCAAATTAAAATTAATTGAAATCCCATAGCTTATATTATATGCTTTTGTTGATACTCAGAAGTGGATGCTGTTTAAAAATATTGCATCTTTGGTTAGCCCTATGGTGTTGCTATTCATAATCCAAAGCAAGTGCTGCTCTGTGTATTTAACCAATAAAAACTATTTGAATATTATAAATTAGAAGTCAAAATTCTAATACGAACTTTGTGCTACAAGATTTCCAGTATTTGTAACTTACATTAAAAGTAATAAAGCCTCACTTGGGATAATTAGGGTAAAATTGAGAGCCCAGAACTCTAAAGTCTAAAGAGTGTCTTGAGTGCATTCTTTACAACATAAAGAGTTTCCATCCCATAATCAGAGAATAACGGATTTGAAATTGTCACATACAAGTGACTGGAAAGGGGGGAATACTCATTCCAAAGCCATTGATTTAATTTGAGAGAGAAGTTTGAGACCGTATTTCAGATACGACTGTTTTAGAAGTCTGAGTGTATGCAGACAGCAATAGATTGCTACAAGCTAGTTAGCTGCGTTTTCCCCTCCAACTAATATATATAAAAATATAACCTAAATGTTATCTATATACTTTTCAGCACCTGGGATGCGAAAATATAATGGGTAATGTGCCTATAACATGGTCATTTTTCTGTAAACATATACTGGATATGGATGTGGGTTGTTGGATTTTTGATTTGTTTTTGTTTTTCAATTAAATCAGAATCACACCAGCAAATTTGTTAAAGATGCAGAAACACATTTAGCGTCCTTTGTCAGGTCACTTTCACCAATAAGCACTTAAAAATAGTATCATCTGGGGCACAGGGAGATGCCTGGGGTAAACTGTTCTGTGGGGGAGAGTGGAGTTCAGATCTAAATAAAAATGATCTATTCTTCAATTGCAATATGGCAACAACGCACTTTTAAAGCTGCAATTTTTAGCTATGAATATATATGTCCAAAGACCTAGCTTAAAGAGGTGCTGCATCTGAAAAACATGTTGCCACACACACTGCCACGGTGAATAGCTATGAAATACAACTTATTGTAGAGGAGGTGGGGAAAATCACTCTTCATGGGTTTAATTAAGAAATACTGTTAATCTTTCTCTGTCCCAACAACTTGATGAGGATCTCAGTTTCAATTCTGAAGTCTTCCATTTTCCTCTTTCCACAGTTGATGTCCCTAGCTTCTATTCTTACTCATCTACCTTTCATTCGTTATGACTATGATGCAATTGCATTTCCAAAACAAAATGTGACTTCTTGTTTTCACCTTTTTAAACTTAATATAAATGTTTTGAATGTTCACGTGTTACATTTATTTGCATTGGGATGCCATTGTCCTATAAAGTGCAAATTTTAAAAACACAATTGGCAAAAGATTTGATAGTTTTACAGAAAGATTTGCTATCTTAAACTCAAACTGTTTTCTATTTTCATCTAAATGACTGGGATGCTATCTTTGTAATTCTTTGAGGTCATATTTGTGAAATAAACAATACACGAAAGCTTTCCTGTCATAGACACTATATGTAGTCTGGAGTGTTGAGCAAACTTGAGTTCCTGAGTTGTAATATCTATCTACGTATGGTATTTACAATTTTGAATGTGTGCCACTACCAAGATGATAATGCTGTACAATTTTGAATGGTGGTAGTTTCTGTATGGCAGTCCAGCTGAACTATTTTGATGTACTGCTTAATTTTTGAATTTTATTTTTTAAGTTGTATAATTTATTTTCTTGCAAAATAAAAATGTAATATAAAAGACTACTCATTTTAGCAAGGTATTTTGGTGTCTTCCCCTACAAAGTTTTTAAACTGAATTCAAGTACTCATCTAGATATTATATTCTGAAACATACTATAGTATGAAATTTGCCTGATTCCAAGTCCTGAACCTGAAGTTTATTCTGATCAGGATATTAAAAAAAAAAAAAAAAAAGGACAGACTTCTTAGGATTTTCAAGTACTTAATGATTTATGTAGAGCTATTCCATCTTCTAAATTATTTTTAAAGATGGGTTGTAATATTTCAAAATTTATCTGAGCCTGACCTGCCAAAAGTGACTAAGAGGTGCCTAAAATTATTGTTTATAGCCTTTTTTAAAAAATGGCTATATCTCTTTAAAGCTTATTGGGACACACTTGGACTGCTGAATCTCATGATATGTTTGTCTTTGAAATCTGAGTGTTGCTGAAAATTACTGACATTGTCACCAGATTATGCAGATCATTGCGAGCTTCAGGTTGCTAATCCTGCAGTAAACAAAAAAGGGTGTAGTACTTGTTGGTTGCCCAAAGGAGTACTTCTGCTGGAATGACTCTTTGACTGTCCTTGCTTTTTCATGTGAAAATTCTTACATTTCAACTCTTTTTTTTTTTTTTCTGTTTATGTGCAGCAAATAAACTCAGTGTTTCGTGCTTTCTGGTGTATGCAAAGGTTAGAATTATTTCTATGGAATAAATATTATTTTTGAGTGACTCTTCAGTGTGCATGGCAATTTTCAGATTGGCAGTTCTTGTAAACAGAATCTACACAGCACACTGCGCTCACTTCTCCAACTTCTTTTCACTGTTAGGGCAAAGTATAGTCTTTCACAGCCACGGTCTTCGATGTAAAGCTGTCCTATAGAAATAAACTAGTTATCACAGGAGTTACTTAGCTGTTTCAGTTTCTATCAGCTTAAAGTGCTCACAGTTTAGGTGGAATCAGTGACCTAAAGGTGTTAGGAAAGCCTATAGACCGTAGCAGGTCAAATGTGAGCTGGAAAGGATTTTGAAGAGGTCCTGGCAAAGGCTGCTCAAGCTACTTGTTGGGAGGAGGGGTAGGGGGACTTTTGTTTTTTTAACGCATCAAAAGTGGGGGGGACTGCTTGATGGCAAAAATGCAAAAGGGGCACTTGAAGATGATAAAGCTGTAGCAGAGAAGCTCAGTTCGTTCTTTGCATTGATTTTACATTGCTGAAGGCATTAAGGAAATTCATAGCGTTTTTCATAGCAGGTAGTCAGAGATTAGATCAAGTTGAGGGAAATAGGCTGGAAGTATTGCACTGAAGGGGTAACCTAGATGTTAAAAAAAGTCCACCTGACATAAGTCCACCACGTGACATTCAGCCATTGCTTCTGAAGGGAATTAGATGTGAAACCAAACTGCTGGCCAAGGTGTGTCACCTATCGTGTGCTGTGGGTTGCCACAAACAAGGCTCTAGAGGGCAGCCTGGGAACTACAGGCTAATGCATATGACTTCCACTTGTGATGAAGAATAAGATCACTGATGACATAAAATCACATGAATAAACAGTCTGTTGAGAAAGAGCCATCATAGCTTCTCTAAAGGAAAATCCTGCCAAGCCTGCTGGCATACCGTAGGAGGTGCAGTAAGCACAGGGAATGAAGGGACACGTACTTGAGTTTTCCAAAAGCTTTTGACGAGGTTTGCCATCAGATGGTACCAAGGAAGCTAAGTTACCAGGAAGCTGGAGGAAGCTAGGACTTCAGTTCAGAGAGAAGGCAGATGTGGCAATGACTTGAGGTTTACAGAAGCATAAAGGCAGAGAATAAGGCAGAACTATTTTCACTGGATCCTATAATATCAGCACTAGGGGCTACTTGGTTAGCAAAAATTGGTTTAAAACAGCTAAAATAAGACTTTGTACAATGGAAAGTGAACATCTAGTATTTGTTTCCATGGGAGATTGTGAGTGCAGATCACAGGTGACAAGCCAGTTCAAAAATGGTTAGATAAATGCATGAATAACAGGTTCATGAACAGATATTAATGACAAAACATCCATAAAACAATAAAAGTGGATGCTGGGGAGATTAAAAGAGAATCAACCACAGAAAGTGGCCAGGCTCTTCTGCTCAACCTCAAGAAGTGGTAATACAGGGTGCTATTCTTTTGCTACAGTCCCTTTTGAACACTCCTTTTTTCTGAGCTCTCCTAAATTTGAGTTACCCTACAAAATCTTAAAGCCCTCCCAGACAGGAAAAGGGCAAAAGAAGAAGTGGAAAAAATGAAATAAAAAAAAAAAACTACTGGTAATTGATTGGGGGAAGAAAAGGAAGGTATGTGAGGGTCAAGGGACCAAAAATATCAAGGTAGGGGGAGCACCTAGCAGAGGAGCCCTGTCAGTGCCCACCTGAAGCTACCCGAGGAGGCAATGGCCAACTGGTGGTCTGCCCAGAGACATGGGACCGGAAACAGTTCCCGTAGTCAAAGGGATTTCTTCCCCTCTCCTGGTTACACTTGCTCCTGCTGGTGGTGGGACTGGCCCACTTGGCCAGGTCTAGGAGGAGGTGGGAAAGGATGTCCTGCAGCCTGGGCGGGGCTCAGGCAAAGAGCCCCCAAAGGCAGGTGAGGGGGAAGGTGCAGCCTGCACCTCAGGGAGGAGGGCTGCTCCATAGTTCACGTGCGCATGTGCGTGTGCATGAGGGAACACTGGCATAGATGGGCCTTTAGTCTGACCGATTAACAGACTTCGTGTTGTTGGATATTGCATTAGGAGCTCTGTATCCTGAAATGCGTCAACTCACTGATTTTATTCACCGTGGGGGACGTTGTATTTTTTCTTTAGTTTGTTTCTCTATGCGCTAGAATTCGTATGCAGCTCAACACTATCTTTTAAACTAACGTTATTTCAACAGTATCTGTCTTCTTGTTGGAGACTTACTTTATGAGTTGCAGAGCAGTTAAATAATTTTAGTATAGTGCTATGTTGTATCTTCTGAATTCTAACAGAGTTAACACTTATGTTGCAGAAAACTGATAAATTATCTGAAAAACGTGCTTACCCTTTAGGCTAGGTAAATGATGCTTTGTATGATATGATAGTAATATTCCAGCAACGTGGGCTTGTAGTGATCCCAACCAGAAGATGGTGGTACATTGAAAAGTTCACGATGCAGGTAAGAGATAAACACGGGCCTGCGCAGGCCTGCATGGCACGTACAGCTGGGCTTCAGGCCGTGCAAGGCTGCGCGTGTCTCTGGCCCAGGATGGCCTTCACCGGCCGATCGCAACGAGGAGCCTGGGAGCAGCTCCCACTCGGCACCAGCAATGGCACCACCTGCCTGTCCTCGGCTTCATCTGGAAGCTAAGCAGCACGTTCTCACCTGACCATGCTTTTGCTTGAGAATAGAAATGATGGATAGCTTTGTTTTCTTCTAAGAAAATCCTGTAAGAGCTCTAAAGACCAAAAGTTTGGGGAACTTCTCCACAGATGGGACCTGCACCGCATGCTGTGACCTGACTGGAGGACTGTCCGGTGCTGCACAGCTCGGGCTTCCCAGCATCTGAAGGGATGCAAGATTATCTATACAATCCTCTTTTTCCTCCTAGGGTTAGTTCCAATAAATGATATTTTAATCAATATCTTATGGAGTCTGAGGGCATTTCTTACTGAGGTCATAATGAACCTGGTGCATTACAAGGCTGCATCCCAGAAAAAGGGCCTTATGCTGCAGGCAAATAGTAATAAAGGTGAAGTTAATGAGAGCTGGAAACTTTTTCTCTTTGACGTATGATTAGCATTAGTCATTTATGGAAAAATATCCAAGTGAGTTTTTTTCGTGTCTTTCTTTGATGGTACTCATAAATTCTCAGGGTAAAAACTTCAGTTCTTCCTGAGTCAATATTTGTTAGTCCCTTCGTTATCTCTGTTTTTCAGCTGAAAACTTTGTCTCTGAATCAAAGGTCTGGATTAGGTTCATCAGACTCTCAAAACGCCATCTACCAAGAGCCAAGGAAGCAAGGCTACACCTGCATCCCTTGTCTGTGTGGGTCCCAACTGATCCCTTACCTTTAGTTCAGAGAGTCTTTTGACACACACAGAAAGTAAACAGTGTTTTGCCTTTTAGAGCAGAGGGATAGCAGGGGAAACCCTATCTCAAAGGGAAAAATAATGAGATGTAGAATAGAAAAATGAACTAAAGCAATTTTGATGAAGGTTAATTTTACAATGTAAAGGGAAAATAATAAAGGAAAAACCACTCAAGATAGTGACTGGACAACAAGCTGCTGAGATGCTGTTGCTCTCCAGATACCCAAAGGATGTATCTTGGTTTTTGTTCCAGCTCGTGGTCACGTCCTGAGGGAGGCAGGCTGCAAGGAAACGCCGCCTTACCTGACTGCAGAGACAGCCCCAGGGAAGGCAGCAGGCAGCCTGGGGTACTGTGGCAGCAGGGTGCTGACTCCCTCGGAGGGAGAGCTTAAAAGGTACCGTAATAATTCTGAGGTGTTTTGTTCCCGCAGACAAACCCGAGGAGGCTGCAGAGCACACGCGCGCCATGTTGTTCCCCCAGGACGGGGAAGGGCCAGGCTCTTGCTGGTGTAGCTCTGTGCGTGGGAAGGACGGACGGGGGGACAGCTGTAGGGACTCGATACGGGCCTTGACTGGGAAACGCAGATCTGGACGCGGAGAGCGTGAAGGGGGGGAGCGTAAGATGAGAGATGGAGCCCGGGGAGCTGGTCCGGAGAGTGACCTGAGGGCAAGGGGAGGCCAAGCTTGTTGTAAGCGCAGCTGCCTAGACGTTCCTCGGGCGGGGCTGAAGCCTGAGGTAACGTTTCGGGACGGCTGTGCCCGGGAGGAGGTTCAGGTGCCTCAGGAGCTGCCTCGCTGGCCCCTGCCTACAGGGCGGGAGGCTGCACTGCGAGGCCCAGATAGGCGCAAGGTGCCGCCGGCTCCGGAATACACAAGCGCCTGCATCCCCACAGACCTCGTAACCGCCTTCAGACGAGGGTTACGTAGGGAGAGAATTTCCCGTGTATCTGTGTTTTGGTTATTTTGTTGACTTGAGGGCGCGGGAGGGCGGCGGGG